GTAAATACAAAGTCTGTTCTTGACTGATACAAATATAACTGACACCAGTGGAGTACCTGTATGCCCACAACATATATTGCAGGTATTTATAGGGATTTGCATAGACATAAATTATTCCCTTATGAGACAATATATTCAAATTCATATTGTATATCATAAAGTCCCAGTATGCTTTCTAAATCTTTTACTCTTTCTGTAATCCTAGTCTCTGATATTCATTTCTGTGGCACTGTGTTTTTTTACCTTGTTAGCACTAAGACTCAGGATCTTTAAAATAAATTATCAACTTTCTTCACTGCAGCCTTTTCTATAATACTTTCTTTCCTGCATCGGATGACACTGGCTATACTGAAAACAGAAATAGTTTTCTGTTCTTTTTGGAGCCTTCTGTTATATAGTCCATTTCTTCATTTTACATTTGCACAAAATTTCTTTGGGTTTATGTTGCTTATGTACATTAGCTGCAAGGTTAGTATTTTCCAAATAATACAATTTTGGAAGAGTGCAGAGGAAGGAGTATGACGGGGCAAAAACATTTTTCTTCAGCATACTAAAGTCATTTTTTGGTGGCAAGGTTAGACCTTCATATTTAATAAATTAATTAAAATATTTTGATTTGAAAAAAGCATACGAGTTCCAGCCATTCATTTATATAAGATGTATTTTTATTGCTCTCTAAAATTAATCCCAAAATTAGTGTTGTGTGCATCTTTTATTTTAAAAAAACCTAAATATTTTTGCTTACTAAAGTATTGGTGCCATTTCAATTTATTTCCCAGTCTTTTAAAATCTGTATATTGTGCATGATAGAGAGAGCTGCGTAGCTTGCAAATAATTGACTAGAATTGCTTCGAGTAATTCTGCTTTTTTGGCTTTTTGTACCTAATCAGAATTGATGTGACTGAAGTGCAAATCTTCATAATAATCATGCATTTACTGGCAGTGATCGGAGGACCACCTTTTTGGCAATCTATGGTAATTTTGTTCATGTTGTATATCATTTAATTTATATTTCTGACTATTCCACTTCTTGTCTTTGTATCATCTGGTTTACATCTGGAAAAGCAGTGCATTTACAATACCACCAGTCTTCATTTGTGAGGAAAAGATGTCATGTTTTCATCCCAAATGAAGATGTGGTCTTGAAGAGCTTGAATGACTTTGATATCTGACAAATGGCAATGATAGTGCATTCTGGGTTTGTTATATTAAAACCAGGTATTCTTCTGCATGCTCTACTACCAAGCAGAAAGATACCAAAACCATTTTCAAATTTAAGTTTACCTTTAGGAATGACCTGTCCAGCCATGAAAACCAGCTATTCTTGGGTAAACTCTTATAGCAGCAGTATGATACAATTAGGTCAATTAGATTTGGAGGAGAAATATTTGGAAGGCAGAATGTAATGGCTGATCATTACAAAGTGTGGGGGGAGGGGAAGGGGTTAACCCTTGTGGAAGTTAGTTTAAGATTTTTTTTAATGTTTGCAACTCCAGTCCTGCATGCTGGTCTTCATGGTTGGACCGAGGCATTCATACAGATCCCAGTTGACTTTAATGAAGGTTACCATACATTTACAGTTCTGTCCATCTGGATCAATTTGCTGGATTGAAGTTCTAAGGATTTCAGCAACTCAGTTGTGTATCAGCACCAGCAGATAACCTCCTGGGGCACTGCTGCAATATCCACTCAGAGATACATGTGCTATATCATGAATTTCTACCATTATCTTCTGAAGTATCATTTCCCAAAAGTTTTTATGTCCAACTATTGAACTGGCCTGCCCTTGCTTAATTTATGATATCTGAATTCACTGCCTAAAGTGGGCTGCCAAAAGTCAGTTTAGTTTGACAACAAAATTAAAGCTGTTTAGTGAAAAAATACAGTGAATTAATAAGTGGACATTGACATCAATGATGCTACAAACAAAAGATCCAGAATAGGAGCCTGTCTCAACCAAGGCTTTGTCAGGGTATATCTGCATTCAGAGTTTATAGGCAAATTCCACTAAGTGGCTGATGAAGGCCATAAAGTTAATGACACCTAAAAGATGTGATTGATCTCTTTTGGACAGAACTATTTCTCAAAGATCCCAGCTGCCTCTTTAATGTTCTCCCTCTTTCCTTGCATCTCCAGATTCATGGAGTATGAGATCATGACATCATAGAGTAAGATCCCTTTTCCTTCCAAGTAGTTGTCCGCATAACATTCTCACGTGGAGGTGGGCTCAGCCCCTGGCTCCAGCTCGAGATTATTTTTACTTTGGCAGTGCTGCCTTGTGTAATCCAGCCCTACTCCTTGAACCCTTCCCCTCTCTCTGCATTTAGGGGGCAAAGGGGTGGAATGCATGTCCTGCCCTCCATCCCTCTCAACCACCTGGCTCTGGCAGTTTTGTTGTTGGATTCCTTTTGCAGCCTGCACTTTGCCTGCTTACCTGTTTCATGCTATTTTTTCTGTGCCTTTCTGTTCCCTTTGTTTTATCTTTTCTCCCTCTTGGAAGAGAGGGTTGCTTTTGTTTTTCTCTTTCTTGGAAGAGAAGAGGTGCTTTGGGATACTTTCTTCTCTCCCCTCCCCATATTTAAGGGTCTTTTTATTTTGCTCCATGAGGTTCTGCCATTTTGAATCCTCTTGTTTACCTTTCTTTCCCCCCACCCTTTCTTCTTTTGATGAAGAATTTTATGAGACATCCACATTTTTCCTTGGCCTCTTGTCCAATGAAATGCTTATCCTTAAGTAACCAGGCTTCAAAATTGCATCTCTTGCAAGGGGTTGATTCCTGTTTCAGATTTGTATTCCTGTCGCCCCCCTTGACTAGGAGAAAGGCATGTTCCTGACAAACATGGCATTTGTAAATCAAAGAAGAAACAAAAGTTGAAAATCTTCATGTTCCCGGTAGACAAGTCATTGGGTTCCATGTCTGACCCATGTATGAGGGTCTCCATGTGGTACCACCTCTTCAGGGCATCTTTCTCGGGTGCTCTGCTACTTGGCACCATTGCATTGTTCTAGTCTGATATTGTGGAAGCTCTTACGACAAGGGCTAAAGACAAATTGCTGTCCTCCCAGACCTCTCTAAGCCATGACCTCACCCTCCATGCTGGTAAAAGGTGAAATCAGATCTCTGAAGGCAGTACAGCTCATTCTAGTTTTGAGATCTCCTGGTATTTTAGGATCTACAGGGAACTCGTAAAATCTCAGGCCTGTCTGCCTCTGCCTCATTCCTTAGCTCTAAAGGATGCTATCCCAAATGAGTCTGGTGAGAAGGTTCACAGAACAGCATGCTGATTCCCTAAATCCATAGTCTGCTGAAGCCAGGATGATCACCCTGTAAGAGAGACCCAGCATTATAAAAGACACAAGAAGTCATCTTCAAAGTCAGTGCTGTCCATTCTCTAAGCAGCTCAGCACCATGGTTCAGGTCCTACACCTTGTACATGCCAAGTCCCATACCATGCCTGTATCATCCAGCACCTTTAGCATTGGTACTGCCAATTAGTCACCCACATGTCCTCAGGAAGCACTGTCCAGTCTTTCTCTGCAGGGTCCTTTGGCATCACACTTCAATGTGGCTTCCTCATGTCCTTACTCTCACTGAAAGTGAGGTAAAATCCTATTCTTATTTTACTTCTTAAGGTGCTTGTCTTCTCACTTAGAAGAAGTTGTCCTTCTCTGGAGAGTGGGAGCCAGTACCTTCCTGGTGCCTTCCAACCCTAGCCTCAGGACTTACCGTCCTTTCTAGGGCCAGCATGACTGTACGGGAAGAGCTACAGCCATCGACTGAGTTCCCACCTACACAGGATACTTCTTTCCAGCTTTCATCTCGCTCTCTGGCTTGTCCTGTCGTCTCCCTGTAAGGAACCAAGGGAGTTTTTGTTTTCCTCTGACACTGGGCCTCAACCTGCCCCTTCTACTGATGAATTCTAAGTATGTCTGGAGAGCTCTTCAGGGGCATGGCTAAAGACCTTCATTTATCCCCAAAGGAAAGTATAGAGGGCTTGTGACAATATTTTTGTCAGCCACATGGGGACCATAAGTCATTTCCAGACACTGGGCTTCATGGTAAATCAAGCATTTTTTAATCTCGGTAGTTTTACGCATCTCTGTCTTCTACTGTTGTTGCTGTGCATTTTTTTCCAAATTAGTGGTGAATTACAGGTCCTGCTTTTTACCAATGTTCACAAAGCCTATTGCTGTTGCAGCTCCATCCTCTCTGATGCCAGCAGGCGGGTGGAGGAGTTTGGCAGATGCCAGCTGTTTTTCCTCTCAACACTTGCTCCAGTAATGTAATTCCATCCACGCTGTATTGAGCTTTCCTTAGCCGCATCCCTCCTTCCATCATGACTTCTCTGCTCAGAGTAGTATGTTGTTAAAATGGGAAGGAGAAATGCAAGTCTTCCTCCCCCCGACTATCCTACAGCTATGTCTCATTCCCTCACAAACATCTCAGGTTTCCCCTCCCGTCTTATTTTTACAGGTAACCTTTGAGACTTACTACTGTGTCCTGTGTCATTATTGCTGGTCTGTCCTTTGTGGTGGGGTCCAGTTTGTATGGGTCTTCCTCTTGTAATCTGCGCTAGCACTATGTTTTCTTTCTGCACATGGGATTAGGCTTGTTCTCACCCTCTGGCCAGTTTAACTCCCTGGCTCAGGAAGGATCACCCAAGACTTTCTTTTCTACTAGACACTGGTTTGAGAGGCTGCTAGGTAAGTTTTCAGCTTTCCAAAGTTAGAAGCCACATGTTCTTTTTGTCCCTCCCCATGTGACAGCTCTCAAGTGATTATAGTCAATCAATCAGTCAATCAAGGAATTTTGCTAATGGGGCACGTGGAAAAATATGTTCTTCCCAAATCGTAAAATTTTAACCAATGCTTACTAATTTATGAGGGAGAGGGAGACCATGTGGGGATTTGGAAAAGTGGATTGTTTCAGTTTATATATGTAAGCAAAGCTTTAAATTAGTAGTACACCTTTTAACTTCTTTTATCTCTACTTTTTTAAGATTCCAGTTTTGAATATTCAGACGAAAATAATCCCAGCTCTTTGTACTGTAGCAGGAACCATATTCTCCTGTACAAACTACTTTGGTGTGATCTTCACAGGTGGCGTTGGTAAAAATGGATCAACTATAGCAGTGAGTGCTTTATTGTGTTTTTATGAATCTGTTGGTGTGGCTTTTTTAAAGTGTGCTATAGTTCTCATGTCTGTTTATAGAAAAACTGACAGGCTTTCATGTTATTTAGCTTAATGTCTTTTCTTTGTGAAATGCTAGCCTGGATTGGAAACAAAGGATGAGTCTTATCAAATCTAAAATATTGAACTTTGGAACTGAGTGTGTACTTTAAAAGGATGCTTGCATACTAAGTGCAACCACCTGTGGTTTTTATATACGTTACTGCCATCCAGAATGTCTTACTGTCAGAAATCCATGAGTTTCCCAAACTAATCTCCTTTGTTGTAACCAAAATAAAACTGACTGGTGTGCTGACACACCTTTGGGGTTTTAATCTTCTGACAAGAATATGAACGTGCTGACGTTCCAGAAAAGATCAGCATCAGGCACTTCTTGGCAGGCTGCTTTTTTTTAATGCATTTTTATGGTGGGACTTTTCTGTGAACCTCTTAAGGGTGTGCTGCGTTTGTTTCTATGCCAATTGGGAGTTAAACTGATTTTCATTATGTCGTTTGTTTTGGTTTGGAGTGTTTTCTCATAAAGCAAAAACTGTAAACACCAGTGTGGGTCTCCTGTCAATTTAAGAACAGAATAATCTCCTGCCATATAGACAAGCGTGAGAAAATAAAAGCTGCTGCAGGTTTTGCAGTCTGAAGTGGTTTTTAATTTTCCCCTCCACTATGTGCTTGTCTTGGCTTTTTGGTTTTCTGTGGGTGAAACAGCATGTGGTTCCATCATGCAGCATACAGCCTCCAGTGCCTGTATGCTGAAGGCACCAACCGCATTTTCAAATGACGCCATAATCACATTTCACTTCTGCCAGCAAGTGAGTTCAAACAGGAACAGTTTTATGCACTATGCGTTGCTACTTCCACTCACATACATGCATTTATTTTTATATGGTATGCAGTTTCTGTTAAACTACTCCTTTACTCTCTGTCTCCCTGTAGGGAACAAGTGTCCTTTCACCCTTCCTTCATATTGGATCAGTGATCGCATTAGCTGCAATGATCCACAAGAAATCTGCTGTGCAGCTCTTTGAAAAGCATCCCTGCCTGTATATACTTATGTTTGGTTTTGTATCTGCTAAAATAACTAATAAATTGGTGGTAAGTGTCTAAGAGTCATTGATTTGTTTTTTGTCTTACATTAGCACAGCCACAGACTATCTTTACCATTTTGCAAACATTTACCTTCCCCAATTACTCTGCCTTAATTAACCTTACACTTTTGTGCATTAAAGTGTTTCACAATAGTTTCTTTGTCCCATTTGAGACTGAAATAGTTCTCACTACCACCAGTGCATACTCTCCTTGAGAACTTTACATAGCTCATTGTTGTATTAGTGTTAATTCATTGAAAACACTGAGTCAGGTTGGTTTTTTTTAACATTGCTTTCTTCTTTTTATAGGTTGCACATATGACCAAAAGTGAAATGCATCTGCATGACACAGCATTCATAGGTCCAGCACTTTTGTTCCTGGACCAGTATTTTAACAGCTTTATTGATGAGTATATTGTACTTTGGGTTGCCCTGGTAAGTATATTGCCATATTTTCTGTTGCTCAATGACTAATTAAAGCATGTGTGCTCTTTTGTGCATATTGTTTGCATCAGTTGGACACAGATCACTTGAATAGAAAAATGTTGGCTGCACATATTCTTGCTCAAACCAGTTTAAAATAGGACTTGTGCTACCTTAGTTTAAATGTGGTTTGGTTGGTGTTATGCCTTCTGTACTGGTTTTAAGCAGGGTTTTAGAGCTACATTGAATATGCTATATTCTAAGTTTAAAACACAGAAGAAAAATATGCTAAGAGATTTTTTGCAAGGGAGTAAATTTTACATGCTGGCATCGACTGCTATTACACTCAAACTTCAGGTAACAGGTGGAATTCCTGAAAATCTTACATACTAAGAGCACAGTTGATCCCAGGTCATGCTTACAGAAGTAGGCTTAAACAGCACTGTCCTTCCTGATCAGAGCATTGAAAACTAATCAAATTAAGTTAAAATCAGTCTTCCACTTTCTAGATACACTTCCAAAAGAACACAGTACAGGTGCAGTACATAGGTATGCCCTTCCCTCTATTTGGGAATCTCAGTAAGGTCACTTAAAATGTGTGTTTTAACTAAGAGCTCAGCATATGAAGAAAGTATAGTGTACATAAATTGCACTTCTGAAAATTGAGTTTCCATTACAATGCAACACTCAAGCTTATTTTAAAACAGCATTGTGTAAATGTCCCAAAATCAGATCACAATTCTGCTCCTTAAATAGCTGCTATCCAGAACTAATGGGACATTTTACAAAATCTTTATTCAGTTACTACTACTTCGTTCCATTAGGGAAAAGTAGATTTAATTCTAGGCACAAGGCTGGAATAAATCTGGTATTTTTAGAAACTTATAAGAATAAACGTTTTGTAGAGGAGAACAAAAATAGAGTTTTAAGTAGGAGAGGGAGACTTGGCAAGACTCTTGATGCATCTAGATATTCTGTATAATCATGGAGGATAGAGGAAATGTGGTGCTTTCGTGTACTGTAGAGATCTGACACATCATTTTCCCTTGGCAGATATTTTCCCTCTTTGATTTGCTCCGATACTGTGTCAGCGTGTGCAATCAGATCGCTTCCCATCTGCACATCTATGTATTCAGAATCAAGGCCTCTTCTACACATTCTAATCACCATTAGTGACCGTGCTGTCACCAGGATAAGAAATAAGAAACAGTTGTTTTCTTTGAGAGAGAATATGAACATATTTAGGAGACTAAGGCAAAAGGAGCAGATGAGAACAAATCTAATTTATAATAATCAATGTTGTATAACTTTTCTTTGTTACTGGTATCACTCCTTAACTAGTCTCTGCCTATGAGAGGGTGAATTCCAGGTACACTGCAGTCAAATATACATGTAGTCAACTCTACTGGTTCAGTTCCCAGGAAAGCATGCAGGGAGTAATGCTTTGTCTTTGTAATTACCTTGAATACAGAATAAACTATCTATGGTGAATGAATACCCAGCAACTGAAATTTCTAATGTAGTATATTTACAAGCTGCAATACAATTTGCTTTATAATTTTAATATTTCATCATCTCTTAGTGAAATACTTGTTTAGTGTCCATTTGAAATTTCTTTACTAAAAAGCTGAGCTTGTAAAACAGAGATATCCCACTAGCTTGCACAGCTGAAATAGTGGTAGAGACTTTGAGTCCAGATTGATATAGTTAATTTGCTCTCATATTGCTGAGGAAAGCAGTTTGTTGCTTAAGAACAGTATATTTTGGTAGGGTCCTGTAAGTGGGTGGAGGCAAATATCAGCATGCAACATAGTGCGGTATCTTTGTCAATTAATTTTATTTTTTTAATAAATATTATCTAAAAAAAAAAAAGACTTATTCTCCATTTTCTTCAATGGAAGGACTTGACAAGCAAATTTTATTGTTCCTTTTTTATGTATGAAACTTAAGCAAAATTTTCTTTTTGCTCTTTAATAAAAAAGAAAACTCTAAGAGCTACAGTAGTCTTTATATGCGTCTGCCCCGTCACATTTGACTGAAGTATTTAAACAGAGAGCAGTTTTTTTATAATGCTTTCCTTATCTATAGCACTTGTCATAAGTTTATCAAAGATCTTTCTTTGCTTAATTAAAAAGTCTTGCAGCTGAACTCCCAAAGTATATTGTACCCATTTTACATGTGGTAAAAAGTCAGGCACAAAGGGCATTTGTACGTGTGCTTTGAGGGTTGGTGAGGCACTTTAATTAGAACCGCTCTGAATAAAGCGCCACAGCATCTCATATATCAGTGTCCCCACACTTCAGAATGGTGGCGGGGACACTTGAACTAAAGGTCAATTCACCATTTTGAACTGCAGGGATATGGATACACAAGATGCGGAGGCTGACAGGAACACAGTAATGACTACGCTCCAGCAGACTCGATTAATTGAGTTGGCTCCGACATGCCACAATTGCAATGTGTTGGAACAGCCAGGATGTCTACAGGCACCCAAAGAGACTAAGGGCTGGAACCAGCAAAGAACTTAAGCACCTAAAAGTTACATGCTGCCATGCCTTACTTTAGTGCTTGGTGCCCAAAGTGGAATTCAAAATCTTGAGTGAAGCACCTTGATCTCGTGCACAGTGTAGAAAGAGAGCTCCCTCAGCTGGACTCTGAAGCCCCAAGTACACTGCGCAGGAAGCTGCCTAGAGCTAGTCAGTAGGAAACACAGCGGATAAAGGTATGTCCAAAATCCAGCCCCTCGCTGAGAGTTAGATACCTCACTCAAGACTGCTAGAAAGTGCCTGTTTCCATTTGCAGTCCACAGCCTGGAACCATCTCCTAGGTGCTTAACTTGTTCTTTGAAAGAATGAGGCAGAGCTCATTTTTTTTTCTCCTTAAATATGGCTGAAGGAAGACCTAGCGTCCACCATTTTTTCACAGTGTAATGTACTTGTTCTTAAACTCTGGTCCTCAGGCCATCCTAAAAGGTGTGTGGATCAGACTGGTACCACACCCCCTTTTCAATTAAAAGTTCACTTAAGGACAGCTGGTGGAGTGTGGGAACCATTTATCCATTGGCTACATGTATTGCCTAGGAAGTGGGCTAGCTAGATTCAATTCACTCTTCAGTGTGAGGGGGTTCAAGCTCACATCTAATCTCCCAAGAGTCTTTGAGCCACCCAGCTTTCTGCTGTTGTGGGTGAGAATACTGGCCATCCCTCATGTTGAATTCTTTGCTGCACAGTCATATAGCTTCAAGATCTGCTGAATCAATGAAAATGTCCCAAGAGGGATCAGACTGTATAGCCGGTGGTTGGTTCGCTTACCTGAGTGAGAGGAGCTCTGGGTTCTGGTCCCTGCTCTAGAGGTAGCAGAAATGGCCCTGGAAGCAGAGGTCATAACCTAGCACTTCCCCAGCTTGGGTGACTGCTTTAACAGCTAGGACTCTGGCCCAATTAATTTTGAATTGCTTTCTGTCTGGTAGTCCAGCTTCAGCACCCCAACTAGTCAAGTGTCTGGTAGTTGTGGACATCTCATGGCATGGAAATACCAAGCTGAAGAATTTGAACATGATCATTCCAGTTGTAAAACGTGCTAAGCTCTAGGCATTATAAACAGTGCACTGCTTCTTTGCTTTAACAAAAAAAATCAAGTGCACTATTTTATTTTAGGAGGATTCTGAGGCTCTGCATTTTGCAGGTATGCTGGGCATGCCTACTAGATGGAGCCGCTGAAGGACTTAGGGAAGAAAAGCCTAGGTTCTGAATCCTGATTGGGGTTAGGCATGAAGCTCCCCACCCTCACCAAGGCTGGGGCTGTTTTACCACAGTGCAGAAGTGCAGCTAGATGCCTAGGAAATTTTCCAGAAAAAAAAAAAGTATTTTTAATGGAGTTTAGGCACCTCCACCATGAAACGCCAGAATGAGAGGGCTTTTCAGGACCAGTTTTGGACTGAGTTGCCTCAAATTACATCCTTTTTGAATCTATCCCTTAACTTCCCAGTAGTTTTGATGGGGTCAGTAATAGTCTGGATTTTTCAATTCTATACTTTAACTGGGCCTCACTGAGATACTAGAAGCTACCCAGTCTATCAAGTTGTACAGGCAAAATCATGGTGCCAAATATTTCTCCTAAAATGCCATACAATCATTTTGTTACTGGTTATATGATAGTCTAAGGGTATATGTGCTGACGCAGAGTTTTAGGGCAGGCCCAGAATTGAACCTGTTGTAATCAGTATTAATTGAACTTTTGGTGAGCACATAAGCTAATTGCAACAGGAGTGTATTCTGCCTTTTAACTTCTAAAATAAAAACGCAAAACTTAGGCCAGGCACAGCTGTATTAGCCTGTAAAATGAGCTCATCAGTCATAGATGTGCCAATTCATATGGTCAGCTGCTTACTGGCTAGAGTCCTGATGTGTTAAAATTCCTTTTGCCTTGGGAATATGCTGTTCTACAGAACTCCTGTTGCAAGCCAAGGGAACTTCTATGGGACCAGAGGAATTGTATGTTTCTAAAGGCTTGATTCCTTGTTTCTATGCAACTTGTGTAGCCTTTCACACTAGTGTGACAAGATACAGAATGCCACCAAATGGCTCAACAGAACACGAGGCAGGAAACCCAAGTCCCCACCAATCTGCAAGGGAGCTAAGAGCTAGTTATTCCTCCTACTGTTGTTGCCTGTCTGATCCCAGAGGATGCAAGTGATGTGGAGAATGCAGTAACGTTCCATGAGTGAGGCCTGGGAAGGAGCAGGACCAAGCGCTCACTTTGGAAACGCATCTAAATTGAAGGCAGCTCACGCTCAGGGAATGTTATAAGATGATGCATTTTACCCCAAGCCTTTTATTTAGCATATTAGGAAGATTTTTTTAATCTCTGTCCTGATAACACTTCACCTGTCCCAGGTGGTAGCTTGGAGTGTTTGCTCCCTGCTCTTTAGAAATGTTTCTCCTGTAATCTGTGCCATGTAAAGCACACCCAGCTACTATGGTAATATATAAATGCCTGTAATAAATAATGGAATAAATAAACTCTACCCCCTTGCACTTATACAGTATGATACAGTCTTATTTATGCTACAGGTTATCTTAGATAAGTGTACGGACATAAGACCATACAATTAAATTCAAAAGTGACCGGGATGAGCATGGGCATTATATTTCATGTGTCCAAAGAGACGTCAAGTTGCACGTTCAACTCGAAAAACTTCCCTGTTTCTGTATTAACGAGCTACTAGAGGGGCCATCACAGCAAGAGTCTACTGAACTTCCTGGAGCACCGGAGAATGAGTACAAAACTCTCTTGAAAACAACACATAACCTGTACCTCATTGAGCTAGCTTTCCCTCACAAGCCACAGAAATGATGAGGAAATTTCCTGTGCGTGGGTGACAGAAGGTAACTGAGATGGAGGGGGGTTTTAAATGTATAAAAAACAATGCAATGACAAGCTGTAAACCACAGACTCTGAGCTACTTCCATGGTAAATGCTCATTTGAGTTAAAAAAAATAAATAAATAAAAAAAATAAGAGAAAGTCCTTTAAGAAATGAAAGCTAGTTTCGGACATTTTTCCTCTGTCAACAATTCAGCAAACCAGATAATAAAATGTTTGTGCTTGCTGTAATCAAGCCTGTTGGTTGTTCCTCATTGCCTTTATGGCTTTCCCCAACAGGTGAAGAATGGCCTTTGACAGTTTATGCAAGTGGCTGAAAACGGCATGTGATGGCCCTTTTGAAAGGCACTTTTTTGTTGTGGGTTTGCCTGAAGGGGAAAATTCTGTGGTCCAATTTTGAACAAAAATGTAATGCAAAACTCTAGAACTCTTAGTTCAGAGATGATACCTTTATTAGACCAACTAAGTAGTAGTCAAAAAATTACCTTTTTCTGCAAGCTTTCAGGCACACATGCCCTTCCTCAGGCTCAGGGAAAATGGTAAAAAGTCCTCATCGGCAGAAAATAAACTTCATTTTTGCACAGAGGAAGCTGAAGGTGGAAGTCTGTTTCTCTGGGTCCAGGAGAGTGTCTTTGTGAGGTGCTCTTTGATGTGCAGGTAAGGCAGGATTCTTTCCCTGGTGGTGTCAGATGGCAGAAAAGCAGGGAGGTGTAGAAATCTTTTCTTGTTGTTCAGCAATGAAGTTTAAAGCCCAAATCAGCATCCTCTGTACAAAAATTAAGTTTATTTTCCACCTATGGGGATTTTTTACCATCTGAATTTTCCACGAGCCTGAGGACAGGCATGTCTGCCCAAAAGCTTGCAGAAAAAGATACATTTTTTTTTTTTTTTTGCAATATCTTAGTTGGTCT